AAAAATTTCTTAAGACATTGACACAGAAGAGGAACAAATTGATATAAAACCGATGAAAAGAGGAAATAGTAACTATAGGAAATAATGATTAAACAGAATTTGAAGAAAACAGAGGACGATATTGATTAAGTCCGAAACGATTATCAGAGTGAGAACGCCAAGGCAAGTAATCCAGAAATATTTAATGTATTAGAAGAAAAGGAAGTTAACCGAAATTTGCGTTTGTCAACAGACCTTTCATGTTCGGAATTATTAGTCGGAGTTAAATGCATTTTCCAGTAAAAAATCAGAAGTGCAGAAGAGGAACAAGAAGTAGATGGTAAAATTACTAACAAGTGATAAATCAGAAATTATATTCAAAGGCAGATTAATATTAAAGAAAACTAAATGACTATTCTGGAAGCTGCAACTGAAAGAAGCAGAGTTGAGAGATCATCTACGAAGCCTCCATGCATTAGAGAAAGAGGAAGTTAAGTGCATTTTCCTGTAAAAAATTATGAATAGAACTTCGGTTTTCCGAAAAAACACCATGGCCTTTTAGTCAAGCTTATAGCTGATGCAAGAGTCTTTCATTAAATAGAGGAACAAGTTGATGAAACTTCAAGTATGAAATCTGAAACTGAAATATACATATAGGAATGAAACTTATTGCAAAGTAGTTCAATTGATGCTTCAGCTTGATGAAGTTGAACTAAGTAGCCCGGAAACTATCAATGAGTTAGGCGATGCGAAAGATACACATTTCACCCACAAACACGTAGCAATTTGATATAAAATAAATACTGTCACATTTTATATTCTGCTGTTCCTAATAGCAGCTTTCCTTGTAAAACAGGCTTAATTACCGTTAGAATATCTGGGATTCTTTTTAGACAGCAAGCAATTAAGTGTACAAACATTCTGTTACAGTTTCCAGGACACACAATTTTACAAGAGAAAATCGACAAACTGTAGCGCACCAGTATTGTCGTTTTTAATTAAAGACGATGCAATTAAAGCTCGTTCCCGATAGATTTTGGAGTAGCAATTAAAATAAAAACCGGGACACTCTTTTAATTGCGATTTTTAAGAGCGGGCAAACCGGTTCAGTTGAGAGCTCCGCTTCTGGATATTTCATTCTGGGTCATGCCGAACTGGAACTCTGGCGGACCGAATTAATATTGTTTACTTGATGCAAGTGTAAAATAAAAAAACACGCATTTTCAGTACCATATCGGTAGATTCCAAAATCTTTCCCATACTTTGTAGGGGCATCGCAAAGCCCGGAACATTGTGGATAACATAATAGCTGATTATGAGCCAATGTAAACACATTAACGTCGCTACTCTATCACTAAAATTGGAGGCAAGATGAAAACATCAACGAGGCTGCTGCGATCGATAAGTAATTTTCCCGTCTGCACTCTGCACTATGAGTTTTATAAGCATTGTTCGTTATTAACTTTTTTTTAATTAAAAAAGGCGAAACCTGCAAAGGACCGGAAAGTAATTTCAGGCAGTAATTGGACATGGTTGTTGTCTTTATTGGGTGTTATTGGGAACCAGTAACGGTGACTTACCTCCTTGCAGGGAAGGGTAAATAAAAAAACTCGGCTCCTGCACCCAAGAAATTATCCTAACTAGATCCTTAACGAAGTTTGGCACTTTACATTTCACAACAGCCGTACATCCTCTGGCGGCAGGTATCACTTCCACCTCCACTTTGAATGATTGTGTAACCACTGGAACACCAAACACAGACTTCAGTTTAAGCTCTAATTAGGTAAGCTAGCAATCACCTACCAGCCCTAACTTGAACATCTCGGCTAATGATGCGACCCACTGTGTTAGAGGCCACACATCTGTACACTGTGCTGTGGATATCTTGCCTGCAAAAAATGCGATTAGAGTCAAAGAAGCAGGTGCTGAGGAAGGCTGGAGTTGAACCTGTAAGAGGCCGCAGCAAAGGGCATCAGAAACAGGGTGCCGTTTCTGAGAACTCTTCGGATTCCCGAAACGTCGCCCACAGAGGTGCCGTCCACACTCAGCCAGTCTATGGAGGGTTGAGGACTTCCTGAAGCCGAGCAGTCCAGCCATCCTCCACTGGAATTGGAGAATTCCAGTCGAGGAGGCGGTTCCATCACAAAGGCCGGTCCTCGCAGGTGCGAATCGAAGCCTTGTGCATTTGCTAGAAGAAAATCCATTATCAAATTTCCACATCCAATATTTATAAGCTGATTTTGCATTATGCTCCCGGACTAAAGCTGCTAAAGTGATTGAGCAATTAGTTTTTTCAAATGTGTGTGTCTGATGTGAATCAAAAGGATTAACAGATAGATAGAGATAGTTATTCATAAATCCCCCTTTTTTTGGGGCAGTTGGTTTCTATCGATCGGCGATTCATGACGGAAATGGATAAAAGTACAAAGTAGGACTGATAGATAATTTTAAAGGGTGATTCATTAACAATGGGAAATTGGTAAACTGGAGATTCTACACGACAAATGGCACAAGACTACACGAAACTCGATATTTTCGGAAAAATTAAAAAAATATTAAACTAATTACTTTTCACCCCGTACATAAAAGCAAAATGCATTCAACAAAAATGTTTATAATTTGAGAAAATTAAAAATGACACAAATGCTTAAATAACAACACTAATTATCTGTTGTGAATTTCAGGGACAAAGTGTGCATTTTTGCACAAGAAACTTTCAATGGCTGTCTGAAAGCCAATCAAACCTGTTTAAAAAATTGAAAAACAGGATTTTTCCGCTTGGGATATAATAACCAAAAAATCCAGCCCTAAGTAATCCTCTTTTAGATATTGCAACAAGCGTAACTCAGTTTACAATTTCTGGAATTGTGAAAAAATAAAAACTAAATTAATTTCGTTGTAATCCTGTACAGAATTTGATGCCGCAAGGTCCTCGGCTCGTTTACGTCTTGCCCATTTTCCACAAGAACAACAAATCCGACGATGGTACTTTTCTAGATAATTTTTTTACCGATGAAGCTACGTTTAATCGCTGTGGAGTTTTTAACGGGTAAAACAATCATCTGCGAGACTCAGACTCAGACTCAGAGAAACAGAAAAAATGTTATGTTATAAAAATTACTAAATAAAGGTAGTTCAGTCACTAATTCTCCATCTTTCACTACGGACGCTATAAAAAATTAGAAAATCTACAATAATTAGAATGGACAAGCAAAGAAACAACGAAATATAGTCAATAGTACCAAAAGGGTCAGCACTAGTCGAATGAAACTTTTATTATTTATTATTTTTAATTAGTTGAAATTAGATTGGTTTTGATCAATCGCTGGAAAATTGTTGCAACAGTGTCATTTTTAAACGATTTCTTCGATTTTTTTGCGATTTTTCTGTATAGTAAATATTTTTAGATAAACCAAATAAATTATGTTATTAATTTTAGTTTTGGCGTTATGCATTAATCGCTACAGCTGAGTGAAATTCAGACAAATATGACCATAAATTTGTAATTAAATTAGTGAAAGATCGTCGCTTGGAGCGTTTTTCGTTTAGTTTTTGTGGACTTTCTTCAAGTTAAAATGTGATTTTTTTACCGAAACTGGACGAAATTGCTCGGATAATCCTTTGCGTCGTGCAAATCGCGTTCTCAGATGGGAAATATAGAATCATTGTGGGCCATATGGCAAGTGCGTTTGTGAAAGTGTAGACATCTTCTTGGGATTTATTGGTAGAAAATGGAGGATAGCGCGCCAGCTTGCAGAAAGGCTGCTAAGAATTATCTCTAATCTATAAATATTTTGCTTAAACTAAGTTTACTTTTTACTTTTTACTTTTACTTTTAAACTAAGTTACTAGTTTAATTTAGCCCCTTATTCATCAACTGACTCGTCGAATGGATTTGGTATCAATTGATCTATTCGTCCTTTCACAGATAATTTTAAACTTTGGAAATATTTTGGGCGGCTTTGTACTATTATATCAAGTTCATCTGAAGCTTTCCGCTAAAAACCGCTTCAGATATGGAAATTTCGGTTGGAGTATTCATTATAAGAAGCATCAGCTCACTGATAGTGAGAATTTGGTTTCGATTAAGCCATTCGTTGGCTCACAAGAAATTTTTTTACTTTGGGAATATTTTGGGCGGCTTCGTATTTTTACATCAAGCTCATATAATCATATAAAGCTTGTATCTAAAGAACCGTTTCAGATATGCAACTATGGGCACCAGTTTTATGTTTTCTGTTAAAAAAAAGTAAAGATTAAGTCTCGCTTGTTTGTTTTTTAAACTTCGAAATCGACTAAAACACGACTCCGATTTTTTGGAGGTTGCTCAAGAACCATTTGATCCTCATATTTCGTTTTTGTATCATTGGATAGAGAATTCGTAAGTCGATTCAGTTACACCAACGTGCGTGAGTAAATTCTGGTTTATTTGTGACAAAATTTTAATATCAGACATTTAGGTGCAAGTTTACGTCGAAAGTTCATTAAAAAAACGTCTTCTACAGAATGTCAACTTTTCACGTTTCTACTGGCTTCACTTTGGAAGTTGAAATTTTTGATGGAGGAGTATGCAGTATGCAGTTGGGTAGAAGTGTTAGTTTTCAAATCAAAATTTTCGAAGCGCAGAAAATTTAGAATTTCATGTTATTTTAATGAATATTTGAAGGTTTGAAGACATTTCAACGACATTAGACGGCACTCTTTTTTACCGAACGAACAACTTTCAACTTGTGGAGCATCTTTCCTTTCTGGAAAATTTATTTTCGAAAAGATATGTCGCCGTTCGAAATTTGGACAATATTTAGTTTGTGGATCCAGTAAGATGATGGAGCAAATGGATCGTGGGAGAATCAAACATCCAAAACTGACTCTTCTCTATTTCTCTTGCAGGCATCCTGAGGTTTTGTGGACGCAAAGAGCCAATAATAATCTGGATAATCTGGAGAGTTGGATATTTTCGAGAAACTCGGAGGAATTGAGGTGGAATGACAAACAAAACCAATCGGAATCAAAACGAGAGCAGTAACTAATGACAGAACGGCTACAGAGGTGCCTACACACTCTGCAATTAATAAATTTATTTTATACCTTCTTCATTAAAATGATAAATTGCTCTGTGATATTTCTTCTGAAGCTTCGTTCTTGTTGATAAACATGTGGAAGTTGCGTCTAAGAAGTATGCAACACATAGAAGTTGCAATAGAGAAAACCTGTGGAAGTTTCTAAACAGTAATCACTTTGAATGAGGAGTTGGTCTACGTTCATGAAGTAGGCCAATAGATTATGTGAACTGTCAACAAGCTACTAACCAGAACTGTTCCAAGTGACTGCACCAAACATAACCTGCAATATTTTTCAACGCGCCACGGGAATAAAGTTTCTCGCATTGTGTGCTTACTCGACATTCCGGAGACAGTTTCAGACTCAACTTTCCAACTTTGCACCCTCGAGGACAGTTTATCATAATGCGATATCTTTGTAACCCCGTATGCAATATTGTAGCTTTTCGCAATGGTAATTTTTCCAATTCATAGTCTATACATGTTTAATATATGGCACGAAAATATCCAATATATTTGACGAGGTGAGCGCGTTAAGGAATGAGAAGTTTCCGAGAACAAGTAGGAAGTTTTCTGAAGAAAAATCTCTATTTCAATTTGGTTTATGGAATTCTCTGGAGGCGGACAAATTGCCAAAGAATCTACTCAAATTTTATAAAAAAATGACTAAGGGGAATTATTAACTATATGTTATTGAATAGTGATTATCCACTAGTCAGGCGACTCGGCTTCTTCAACTGGGGAATAGTCCAATTTTTTTAAGTTTTTGCTTCATTATCAGCTGTACCTAATATATTCAGATTTAGTATTTCAACCATTAGTTTATCTTCTTTAGTATTGTCTTTTACGAAACKTCCACGAAGGGTTTTTCTCAGAGCAACTCGCTCTCTCTTTGGAAGAACAAAAAATTAATTCGCTTCTTAACTTTAAATGTAGTAGTTCAGCCAGTAAAAAGTTTCGCCAGTCAATTTTTCAGTATCATTTCGAATTCATCAGCATGTTTTGAAATTAAGATTTCTTCTATTTGCTTGATTAACTTTATCAATTTATTTTTGGATCCTTCTAAAGATTTCTATCTGGGCAACTAGTTTTTCCGAGGAGCAAAGTTCCCTTAGCAATTTTTTAATCGAAAATTTGTCCACTTCTTGTAGTAAATTAATAAAGTCTAAGACTTCTTACGTTCTAATATCTTGAATTTTCTGGACACTCAATTCGGCTTTTTAAATTTTTTCTTTCCCTTTTTCAGTATCACTTYTAACTCATCAGCAAYTTCTGAAAAGAACATTTCTTCCAATTGCTCATTAACTTTATCGATATGYTTTTCGATKCTTCTAAGAATCTCTGTCTGGGCAACCAATCCYTCAAAGGAGGAACGTTCCGGAGGCATTTTTATTAACGAAAAAACATGAACGATGTCTAATACTTCTTCTTAATTTATAWTACTTCTAAATTTTTGAACACCCAATTCAGCTTCTTCAAGTCGGATATCCTCATGGATCTMTTTCCAACTAAAATTTCCACTTCTTYAAAAATAAATGTTTAATATATGGCCCGAAAGCATCCAATATATTCTAGAAAATAAACACSTTAAAAATCAGGACTTTCTCCGAACCAGTACAGTTTTCTAAAGAGAATTGGTTTTTGCTATTTAGTTAATGGGAGTTTCTAGGTACGGAAAAATTKCGCAGASATCTACCGGAWGTCAATAAAAAATCTACTAAAAGTAATTGGTAATTATGTGTTATGGCGTGAAAATTAACTAATTATTATCGCGAACTTTCCAAACTTGTTGCTATAATTCAAACTCATGAAGGTGCCGAGGGAATCCAAGCTCTCCAGCATTTCCAGCTCTATAAATTTGCCTCCAGAGGATTAAGGCGAGCTTAACAAGTCCGAAGCTGTTTATCATAACACAGCCAACTCGGCCACAATATTGCCTGTTACCAGTTTTAGTGCAGGTCAGTTTAATTAAATGCTATGGATTGGGGGGTTTTCAAATTTTTCGAATGATTCGCCAGAGAAAACAAGCCAGGAGATGGCAGGGGGAAATGAATTAAAATTACGCAGTCGAAGGGAGCAATTTTCGAAACTTTCCAGCAAATGCTGAGCGAAACTGGCGAAAATCACT